TTAACTACGATCTGCTGCTCCCAAACAAAGTAAGTAAAAATTACAAAGTAAGAGAGCCTGTACATTTTGTTTGATCCTGACATGCATGTAAATAAATTCGAACTTTGGAGATCATAGTTGTCAGGAAACAAACTCCTTTCTTTTTCTTCTTCTTCTTCACTGGAAGTGCAAAATAAGTGATGGCATTGTGAAGCTCTTGAAACACGTTTGTCTTTGTTTTGATTTTATAAGTTGTCTGTGTGTGGCTTGGTGGGTGTATATATGTTGGTACACATTTTTGATTGTTTAGACCATCTCCAGTGTTGAATAAAAAAATTCATTAAATTTGAGTAAAAATTTGAATCGATACAGCTCACTCCAATGCTAAAACTAAATTTTCATAAGACTTTTTCACATCCCCGGTTGTCCGGGAGGACGTCCAGACATGAACAACAAAAAAGCGGTCAAAGTTGCCCTTGGGTTGACATCCTGGAGGATGTCTGGTCCAATGGTAACAATTTAAATTTGATAAAAGATGGACTCCCTTCATTTGATGAAAGTTTTAGTTTTCCCTCTATTTGATATGAATCTGGTGAAGAGTTGGAGCACCAAAATGAGACACTTTTCATCAAATTCAAATTTGATGAAACATTTGATGCTGGATTGGAGAGATGCTCTTACAACAATATTATTTAGTTAGAGATGATTTCATCACTCTCTGGAGTTTTGGGAGAGATATACTGTTTTTGATTCTTTACAGATGTAGTTCTTAATTGAATTAGAGATGATTTTATCACTCTCCGGAGTGTGGTAGCTTTGGGATAGATTGTCACATGTGTGAGTAGGTTGTGTTTGAACTTTGAAACTGGTATTTAGCATGTTTAAGTGTGAGATATTCTTTGAGTTACAGATTGACAGGTCAAACATTGTTTGGGATGATCTGAGCCCCAAAAGATGTCTTTGACATCAATATTGAAAATAATTTTAGAAAAGACCTAGGATCTGTGTATTAACTTGTTGACGTGATAAATGATTTGTGTAAAATTCATGTTTGATAATCGCTCTTTTTCTTGGATGCTGAGAGATAGCAGTAACTGGTGAAGTGAAATTCATTTTTGTAAAAAATGGGACACAGATTTCTATTGAGAAATTTGAAGGTGCACCTGGACGTGTATTTTTGGTTGTGTTTTAGTGCAATTTTGGCATTGGATTTTAGTAACAGAGATTTGTCAGCTCTGATCTTGATAATTGGTATTGGTGTTATTGCAATTCTCTGTCATGCAGCTTTGGTCCTTGGACGAAAAGGTTTCATTATTATTAGTCATCATTCACACACCTTCACCGTCATCTGTGGGAGCGTATGTTGATTGTCTTGAACGAAGTTGGTGGTGTGGTATTGGGCTGAATGTTGGTTATAATATAGTCGAGCTGATCAATAATTCTACACAAGGTCGGGTGAATTGGGACCTCCCAGTGGTGAACCAGTCCCAGGAATGGGTTGAGAGAGTTATTGTCTTTGGGCAGGAGCTCAAGGATTGGCAATCCGTAGTCGGAACAGGCTACTGGAAGTTGATGTTGAAGTCCTCTACAAATCTAGGTTATGTATGGATGTGTAAAAGAGCTTTTATGCTCCGTTTGGTTGGCCTATATATTGTCTCCGTAGAATATCATTATACTTCATATATCATAATTAAGAGTGAGTTTTGTTATTTTATGATTTTAATGTCAAATAATTCAAGAACTGGTGTATTGTTTTCAGGTATTTAAAATTTTCAAGAGATGGAACTTCAGCTTAGAAATCATGCTAAAACGTTTTCTTATGTTTAGTTACAATCTTAAAATTAATGTACTAGTGGTTGTGTTGTTGTAGTGGAGATGGTGGGGTGATAGTGGTGGTGATGGTAGTAGTAGTGACAATGGCAATGATAATGTTGGAGGTGGGCGGTGGTAGGATGATAGAGGTGAAAATGGTGACATTAACAAGACTTTAATTGGGATTGTTTTTTATTCAAACAATCTTTATTTCATTAATAATCATGGAAATAGTTTTTGGTTCACTCTTGTTTTCCGTCAAATTAAATGTTGATACTGAAATAAATGTCATGTTAATTTTCAAGGTAAATTACATAGTTAGTCTGTGTACTTTGATGCTAGTATCATTTTGGTTCTTGTGATTTTAATTTAATTGATTTTGATTTTGATTTTGTCTCAAATTGATTTCAATTGTAAGCAATTTTTTTATAGAAATTGTGCATATAAGAGACGTGTTATGTTTTTAGAGATAAAATTGTGAACTTGATTAATTTAATGATTTAATTTCAATTAATTTAGTGATTATTTTTGTTAAAAAATTTAACAACGTTAGCAATTGAATCAAATTTTAAATATAGAGATTAAAATGACTCAAGTGACAAAAAAACCGGTGTAATTTGTCTTAATTGTTTCTCTCTTCTCTTGACATGGCAAGAAAATGTTAGATGAGTTCATGGAGGGAAAAATGAGTGTTGGCCTAAAAGAGGAAGGTTTAAATGAGTGTGGGGGCTGCCATTCTTGTACCTCAAAGTGTGGCTGAAAGCAAGGAGGCTTCTCTGCTCTTTCATCCATCCTCCCAAGGAATCAAAGTTGGTAGGTATAACGGCTATATCATCGGCCCATGCCACTCATTCACTCAACTCCATAACTATATTCACGAGATTCCACTTGCCCATCTCCTTTACGTCACAAGTGTCTATCCAAACACACCCTTACTGTTTATTTGTGAGTTGAAAAGGGAACGTTCGGTAGCGTATTACATCACAAGTGTCTATCCAAACACACCCTTACTGTTTATTTGTGAGTTGAAAACAAGAAATATGTTTCTATTTCTATTTTGTTTTTATAGTATGTACAAATATTTTCAAAATATAATTACAAAATATATTTGGTGAATTGTTGGAGGTAGTGGCAGGCAGAGTAGTGGTTGGTGGTGGTAGTTGCATGTGGTCGAGGTGGGAGTAAAGAATGAAAATTTATTTTGAAAACAAGTGAAATATTTTTTTTTTTGAATTTCTAATTTTTTTTAAGAAAGGATAAACTACACTTTTAAATCTTGTAGTTTGTCTTAAATTTTAATTTGATCCCTACAGTTTAAATGTAATTTCAATTTGATCATTCTAAAAATAGTCACCAAACATATTTTTGCTCCTAGTTATCAAAAATTTTAGAGTGCTACTATTAACACTTACCTAATTTTTTTGGATCCTTCAATTTTCACTTTTTTTTTTTTTTACAATTATGCCATGAAGTAAAATTACATTAAAGGATAATTTTTAATGGAACACCCACTCACCAAATGAAAACAATTAGAATGATACTTTACAATATTGTACACACACACACACTTCTATCCTCATCTATACATATTCTTTACCTAAATCCTAATTTTTCCTCTTCACCATCCCAAACCTACGTATTCATCTTCAATGAAAAACATTTGAAACCACCTAATCAATTAACGTTTTGTTTGGTGGTTTCACATGTGTTCGATATTTCAAATTAGTTAATATTGCAAATAATCTTATTAGACTTCGAGTTTATACATTTATAGTCATTTTCACCATTCGTTGACACTTATAAAGCAATGAAAGACGATGACAACAACTCTGATGAGATGGGCATTGCATTTGTAAGTTTATTATCTTGCATTTATGATTCTGGGTCATTTTCGATTCGGTATTAGTTTGCCAACTGTTAAGGTTCTGTTTAGTAATAGAGTACTAAATAGAAACATTTATTTTGGCTCTGGAGTGCCGAACGGTTCCATTTTGTAAAATTTTTTCCCTATTTCTGTTTTTTTTGAAAGTTTTTCCATCTAAAACCCCTGTATCAAAGGTTTTACTTCGAAATAAACAACAACAACAACAACAACAATAATAATAATAATAATAATAATGTGATGGGGAGTTGGAGGTTACCTGAGAGAAGAAGAAAGAGTCCGTCGACTGAGATATTGTCGTTCACAGTGACAAGGCGAAAAAGACCATTGTTTATGAGAAGAGAAGAGAGGGACAGTTGATTCATTTCTCAATCGTCTCTCAATCGTTCATCGTTTACTGAGAGAAGAAGAAGAGAGAGTGTGTAAAATTAAACGGGTGTGCACTTAGGTGTGATGATATTATGAATATGGGTAAAATCGGTATTAAGTGGAGTAAAATTAGTATTAAGTAGAGTATTCAAAAAAATCTTATTAAAATTTAGGGTTTAAGGTGGGGGTTTAAAGAAGTAGAGGGTGTAAAGAAATTAAGTAGGTGCTAGTAGCAGTTCTCAAATTTTAAAATAAAAATAGAAAACAAGAAACGAAAATGCTAGTGAACCATTAGCATTTTTTGCCCTTATTTTTGAGAGTAAAAAATTCAAGAAAATTATTTTTGAAAAGCAAAAGTTGAGAAGGTGACCATGGGGATGCCATCTTTAATTGATGGATGCATGCTACAAATGGTAAGCCACAACAAAGTAGTCCTTGGGATGAAAATCATGTAGTTTTTCATTTCAAGACTTGGTTGGCCTTATCCAAAACTTGAATTGGGGAAATGATAAGAAGCTATATTTTGAACAGAATAAAAAGCTGGTTCAGGATATGGTGACCCCACTTTGAATACAAGTGTTTCAACTCATTCTCCATATTTATTTATTGTTGCTAATTTTATGTTTATATCCAATCCCATGAACCCCCCCTCAAACCACCACTACCCATCTCTTCTCTTCTCTTTTATCCCTCTGTTTCAACATTCAAATGGCTCAAAACTCCTTGTTCTACAAGAACTTTTACACCTCATTGCAACCCATGAAATCCCATGAAATCCATTCTTGTAAAACTGAAACAGTTTTCAATCCAACGAGCTTCTTCTTCTTCTTCTTCTTTGAGTCCATAATTCCCTCTAGATCAGTGCTTCAATTATTTATATATATATATATATATAACAAGAGAAGAGGCATGAAGGCGGTATATGCTTCGGATTTTAGAAATGTATTCATCCAAGGTCTTGCATGTGGAGATGGAAGTACAAGTGGTGCAGCCAAGGATGACTTGCCAGAAATTTCTCTTCAAATGTGTTGTGTCTCATTATTTTGAAGTGCAAATGATTTTTCCACCCAAAAAACCTAACATTTGCTGTCATATTTATGACTAATTTTTTTAAGCGACACTGCATTTGTAGTAGAGAGAACCGGCAAGTTGTCATTGGCTACATCTCTCTCTTATATTCACATGTCAGATCTATGATGATTATAATAATAATAAGTTCAAATTACCGGTGATGTTGCAACAGTAAGTTCCTCAATTTTCTTCATATACAAGTCTAGTTTTCACTCATTTTTTAATGTAGTTATCATTTCATTTATGTAAAGCAAAACCCGTATCATGTTCAGTAGTTCCTATGGACCTTACTGTTGAATGCATATTGGAAACATGCACATTTTGGTGTACATTGTCGCAGCAATTCTTTTTACTTGTGTTTTTATCTTCTTTTTATTATTATTATTTTTTTTCTTGGTGATTGAAATTTTAATAGTATGTCCTGTTCTTTTAATTTGTGCTTGTGACTTGGTCAAGTATCATTCTTTTCAAACCCTGAGCAATGGATTTTATAGTAAATTCACAACCAAAATCGCCAGTCCCAAAACTTTTGTTCCCTTGTATTTGTCATTTTATTGAACACAACATGTTCAAGTGCCTCTTTTACCTAATCATAGGTTGGTTTTAAGTTTCACAACTCTTTGTTTTGCACTTAAGTACCCTACAAACTCAAGTTTTACAAGTAATTTTTACATGAACTTGAGTTTTGTTGATCGCTTTTATGTGAGAAACATGGATATGATCATGGTATGAGGTTACTAATCATGGTATGATGTGTTGGTGCTTGATGAAATCACTGATCTTCAATTTTAAAAATACAATACGATGGAGCAGGTAGGAGTCTAGAAAATTTAATCCCCATCCTAGCAAAGGTGGACTACTTACAGAAGCATGAATCCATGCCACTTGAGATCAGCAAAAACCTAATACCCACATTGAAAGCTTTTAATTGGTGAATTACATGAAAGAGTACAAACTAGATTTGCTTTTCTACTTTGTATAAATGCATGTCTTTCTCTCACCCTCTTCCAAAAGCAGAAAGAAAATAGACAAATGTGAAAAAATGAAAACAGAGCAAATTGAAGCTGCTGAAGCTTCTAGAGCTCCACCACCAAGGGGAAACAAGGGGATTGCCATAGTAGACCTTGTTCTGAGAGTTGTTGCACTTCTTGGAACATTAGGAAGCACGGTGGCTATGGGAACTACCAATGAAACACTCCCTTTTTTCACTCAATTCGTGCAATTCAAGGCCCAATACAATGATATTCCAACCTTCACGTGTGTTGTCTCTGCCGTGATTGCTTGTTTTGATGCTTGATATGTTGTTTTGGAAATTGGAAGTTGACAGTTTCACTTGTGTTTGTGTCAAACAGGTTTTTTGTGATTGCGAATTCGATTGTGTGTGGTTATCTTGTTCTTTCTCTGCTGCTGTCAGTCTTTCACATTGTCAGGAGTGGAGTGAAAATCAGTAGAGTCATCTTGATCTTCTTTGATACGGTAAATAAGTACTTCTCATAGCTTTGCATATAAGCAATTTTATGGGAAGAATGGCTTCTAGCAGCCACTAATGATTTCCATAGGCAATCATGTGTTTTTTCTTTAATTTTTATTTATTCTTTATTATTATTATTATTATTTATAATGGGGAAGAGTTATGGATTAACAGAACAATGGGTGTTTTTATTTTTTTTGTACTAAGAATAACTGGTGTTTGGAGCAACTTTTTTGTAACCGGAATATAGAAGCTAAAAGCACCCTTCTTCAATTTCCCAATAATTAGCTTCTTTATCTCTTAAACTGTAAATGTTAGCTCTATAAAACATGTATGATACATTTGTTTTAGCAAAAAATATTTTTAGTCGGAAAGCATTTTCAGCAAAAAAAGCTTTTTTTATTTAGAAAAATTTATATTTAGTTGTGATTTTGAAACTAATGTATTAGTAATTCTATTAGTGGTGATGGTGGTGAGGTGGTAATTAGTTGGTGGTGACACAAATTTTAACCAAAAAAAAAAACTGACCTCAATAAATGTTGTCAATCAATCAACCGATTATAAATGTCAGCTTGAACTTTGAATTTCTGCACATTTCTCCTCTAATTTTTAGCTTATTTTAACTAAAAGTCGATAATCTACAAACAAAAGCAAAAACACCCCTCCATAGCTTTCAAATAATTAGATTTCTTTTCAAGCTTATGTAAGTCCTTTTTGAATTTATAAGCTATAAGAAGTATAACGCAAGACTTTCAAAATTAAAATGCTATAAACTCCTTAAAAACTGCTACAAAAAAGAAATTATTTTTCGAGTCATAATCATTGGATTTCAGAGATAGAGCAAAATGTTGTTTAATGATATCCAATAACATTCTTAAGAAGTATATATGTAATATTGTGAAGGTAATGCTGGCTCTACTCACTGCTGGAGCTTCTGCAGCAGCAGCCATTGTATACTTAGCACACAAAGGGAATGCTTCAGCAAATTGGTTGGCTATCTGTCAACAATTCAACAACTTCTGCGATCGCATCTCTGGATCTCTGATCGGGTCTTTTGGTGGCATTGTCGTGTTTATGGTGATGATTCTGCTGTTGGCCATTGCATTATCGCGATGCTAATGCTATGCCCATAAGGATGAATGTAGTTATGTCAGTACTATGTTTTTTAGTGAAAAATTTATGTTTGTTGTATTTCTAAGTAATTATTGACATCTAAATTTGCTTTTAAGTTGCATATTCTTGTCTTTCTTGTTCACATAAGTTTGGATAAGTTGCATATGCTTTATGTACTTTGATTAATCTCCTTTTTTACATGCTTGATTAATGTTATATATTATGTGTTGGGATTTTGTATTACAATTTTTTTATATATATAAAATTTTAAACTTTTCTGGAAACAGTTAAAAATTGACTAACCTTTGTGGATCTTCCTTTATACCAAAAATAATGCATTGAGGCTTTCTTCATTGGGATTAGCTTGGAAGTGGTACAAAATTCTCTGTTCTTCAAAATTTATGTTCCTTTATCATAATGCACTCTTGACTTTAGGATTGTATATTCAAAATTTCATATTTCAAAATTCTTATCCTAGCTTATGGTGGAGAGCGCATTTAACAAAAGCTCTTACCCTTGGAAGCGAATTGTTTTGATGGTTATGGATTATAATGTCATTTTTAGTATTATAGTCGGTTAAATCAATAAAAGTGGGCCTAAAATTTCATTTTGTCGAGATTCACTTTCTTAGGAGATGGAAAAGTGAGACATTGAATACTAATTTTACTGATTGATCACACACGACTCCTATTTTATGAGGATCCACGAAACTGGAAAGGTAGGATTTTTATTTCCACTTTTGTCTAATTTCACCGACAATGATTCGTGATTTATTTTATGATAAACAAACATGACAAATAAAAATGGTACCATTATTGAATTATCTTAATATTTTTTATTTTTTATAAATTATATATATAGCAAGTCTTATAAAATAAACAGTTTAAATTATCAAAATAAAATATATGATTGATCTCACAAAACTAAATAATTTACTTAAATTCATATGTAAATTTGAGATAGTTTGACCCATTTTGTTTAGACTGTATGAGCTTTCGTCCATTACCATGGTCCAATCATCTCACAAACCCTAATATGGGACAATAAAAGGGGCAACTTGTCTCCAGTAACTGGATGGTATTGTTAGAGCTATGGAGTCCACCATGAGTCATGTTTTGATAATTCGATCCGTTCAATATGTAGAACTCGTCGAGTATTTTATTCTTATAAAAAATAACATTGATTGGATATTGATATCTACTCGATCAGATCATATTTTGTCAACAACTTATTTTAAAAATTATATTTACCGTTCACAGAAATTTGATCAAATCAAATAGTTATCGATATCCGATCAATTTGATTTTTTTTATAAGAATAAAATAATCGACGAATTTACACATTTTATGACTCAAATTATCGAAACATGATCCATGATGGACTTTTATAAATTCAATAACATGTTCTAATTTGATCATGAATTGGAAAGAAGAGTGGCGCAAAATGAAATCATAATGTTAGTAAGGTCTCGTTTGACAAGTGTGTTTGTTTTAGGCTAAAAGTTAAAAAATTACTAAAAAAATCAAAAAATCTATAATTTATACCAAAAAAGTCAAACATTCTATTTTTTCTCTATTTTTTTGCATATTTTTTCTTAAAAAATTAAAAAATTATTACAAACATACATTAATTTTTTTATCTCATATTTTAACTAAAAAATTATAAAATTACTAAAATAACCTATTGGGAACGTGGCCTAACTAATAATAGAGCTCCGATTCGTAGCTCGAATTCAGAGCAGAGGAAGAAGAGAAGAAGAAGAAGGAGGGAGGAGGAGGAGGAGGGGGACTGGAGGGGAGAGGAGAGGGCCATAAAAATGGGGCCGGAGGCGGGGCTGCGACGATCGGCAGCGTGCTACGACGATCGGCGGCGGTAGGGGCCCTTCTCTCATCTCCTCTCCTCTCTCTCTCGCCTATGTTGCTTGGTTCAACGAAGAAGAAGAAGAAGAAAAGAAAAAAAGAAAAAGAAGAGAAAGAAAAAAAAAAAAAAAATTTCGAGACCCAAAACGACGTAGTTTTAGATCTCGAGTCGAATTCGGGCCACGGAATTCGAGCTAGCAAGAATTTTTCCTAATGCCTTTCTTAAATTTTTTTTTAATAAAAAAAAAAAAAAAAGTAAATAAAGAGGAAAACGTAGAAGAGAGACAGAGACAGACCTTTGATCTGACTGACGGGTGGCCCATTCCTCGTTGACCCAAAATTCTTTTCCATGTTCCCCTGTTTCTGAAAACTTTTCATATTTGCCTGAACCTTTGTCTCATCAATTCTATTAATCCCCCATATATATCTAGTGTATAGATTGGGTGGTTTGTACATTACAAAAAAATATCAGTGCTCGCATCCATACCCAACAACTTTCTCGAGAAAATCTGCAAGAAAATTCACCTTTTGTTTCCTGAATTCAAGAAATTTTCTTAATGGGAGGAAAGATTGGGTTTTTTGATCTTGAGAAGCACTTTGCCTTTTACGGCGCTTACCATAGCAACCCAATCAACATAGCCATACACATGTTGCTTGTTTGGCCCATCTTCTTCACAGCTCTTCTCATTCTATACTTCACACCATCTCTATTTAGCCTCCCTTACATCGAGTTTTCTTCATTTGGGATCAATTTTATTTTGATTCTGAATATTGGGTTCTTGCTTGCTTTAATCTATGCTGTGTTTTATATCTGTTTGGATGCGAAAGCTGGTTCTTTGGCTGCCTTCCTCTGTTTCATCTGTTGGGTTTTCAGTAGTTTCTTTGCGAGTCAACTGGGATTGTCACTTGCTTGGAAGGTGAGAGTTTTGATTGTCTTTTTATTTTTAGTATACATGAATTTGATTTGGGTTTTTTGTTTTTTGGTCTCAAATTGAATGCGTGTGCTGCTTCTGAATTATGCATTGTTTGTGTTTGGTGAATTGGGTGAACAATTACTGGTTAGGTTAGTACCTGGGAAACTTTCACTTCAGGCTTTGGGTTTGCAACAATTCATTATATTCGAATTTTTAAAAAAGAAAAAAGAAAAAAGAGTCCATTATGTGTATTTCCTAATATATTTATGGAATAAGTACATTTTAAAAAAAAATTACCTATACATGGCATTATGGGCTTATCTTTATTTTATGTTCGAATTTAATGGCCACATGTGCATCGTAAGCTTCTAATTAATGTGCTCTAATGCTAGACAAAGCACATTGGATGGTTCAATTGAGGTGGGAAGTCCCTCAATTCATGTTTCCAGCTCTTGGGAAGTAGGAATGTGAACATCTGAGTCCTTATCAGTAGCCGCTTTGGCTGAATTCCCCAACGAACTACACACTGTCAGCCTCATTTATTTCTTATTTGCTTATTCTTAATACTTTGATTCAGTTTTGGTTTTGTCAGTCCTGAGAAAGTGTTTTTCTGCACTATAAACATAACAATGTTGAAGGGGATTCCCTGATTTACATTTCCACTGTACTAAACTCTTCTGACACCAAATACTGAACTTTGAAGGTGGATTCAAAAGGGATATTCATCAACATGATATTTGACTAGACAAAAGCCAACCTAGAGAATGTTTTTGAGGAATTAGCTCCTACCATCTAGTTTATGTGTTCAAGTTTCAACAGGGCTGTTACTTAGACCCATCTACTGCTTTTACTTTTTGCTCATTTTTTCTACTTGACAAGGTGAGTTAGGACACATGAAGCTCATCTTGTAGCGTTTCATTACAACCATTTCAGGTTGTTCTGGCAGCTCAGCTGGTATGTTGGACAGGACAATTCATCGGCCATGGGGTATTTGAGGTAACTAGTCCTGCCACTTGCAACTAGATAATCACTTTCAATTGTACTCATGCACCTCTAATTAGAAAATATTTTGCAGAAACGCGCACCAGCTCTTTTGGACAATCTCTCTCAAGCCTTTCTGATGGCTCCTTTCTTTGTTCTGTTGGAGGTATAATTTTTGTTAGTCTTAGAATTTTTTTCATGTTTGACAACTAAAGTTGAGTATATTGCTACTGTTGGTTGATGCAGGCTCTACAAAGCTTTTTTGGGTACGAACCATACCCGGGGTTCCGTGTTGCAGTTCAAGCAAAGATAGATGCTGAAATAAATGAATGGCAAGATAAGAAGCAGAAACTAATTTCTTAAATTTATGCTGGTGTTTGTGCAGCATTACTGTCTACGAATAATGACAAAAATTTGTAATTATAAGCCTTCATGTATATGCACATTCTGATTCTTAAAGTTACTTGATATTTAGTGGATTTTAGAAAGCCATGACGTAAACATCTCGAGCTTTGCAGCAGAAATATACTCTTTTGACAGCCCCCGTTTTCTGTTCTGGATTCAGTGATGGAATTTCATTGAAGAGATGCATAGCTCAATATTCATGATGTTATCTATTATCACCCTTACAATATTGGCCAACTCCCTGAGCACTATTATATACAACTCCATTTGAATATTCTTTCACTTCTCCATTTACCATCATTGTGAATTGGATTGTCATCTGGATTCTTACTTCCGCAGAGATCAGAGCATGTTTTTTTCTAATTGCCAATAAGAGTTTACTCAAGAGGTCTCAAGTACGAAGAGCATGGTATGTTTTCTAGTTCTCATGCATTTTGATACATGATTATTCTAGACATTTTGTAGTTCATATCATTGTGCAACTTGTCATGTTTTTACATGCTGAAATGTCTGGTTATTTTCCATTTTGTTGACTTCTATTTTCCTTTGCCTTTTTAGTCAGTAAATAGTTGGTGCATCCAATCAATTTTACCTGGTTAAGGGAGCTTGCAATCATCACTGTTAATCTATGCTAATCATTCAATGAATGTAAGTTTTTCCCTGTTGATTTAGGATTTGATTGTAATCTCATTATTTGCAACCACAAGCTACTAGGATCAAGGTAACAATTTCTGAATATTGTAACCATACAGATAATGATAATTTTTACCATGCGTCAATGCCAACAACATTATGGCCTCTTGAGAAGTCTTATAAACGCCTATCAATAGTAACCTTCAATCCATGTGCCATTGATAGAATTGTCATCATCCTGTACTTCACTGGATGCCCTGGCACTAAACTGAATTTGAAAAACCTACACGTAATAGCCAGAGCCATCTTCATTTGGAGATATGCCGAGTCCTTCCCAAGGCATATCCTTGGCCCAGCCTGCATCTCACAAGAAAACAAGAAATTTAAACAAAGTTAGCTTCAATAAAGTGATTACCATGGTTAGAGAAGAAGAAATTTAAAAAACTTATGAAATTTTGTCTGCTTGATCATTTAAAGATACCTGGAATGCAGTGAACTTGAATGGAGATGCATTTTGGAAGCATCCCCCTTTGAGCCATCTCTCAGGCTTAAAGGAAGCCGCATCAGAACCCCAATTGTACTCCATTCTTCCCATTGAGTAGGGAACATATGTTACCATCCCACCCGCCTTCACTTTGGTTCCATCCGGTAAAATATCATCCTCCAATATGCCCTTAGGATCCTACAACAATCATACAAATTATGTTCACTAATTAGCGCTCTTAGTGATTGTGTTCATTTTAATTCATTGTGCTATTCTTTTGTGATTCACTAGAAATGATACAAGTTCAACTTGCTTGAACATCAATCCGAAACCACTTTTCATGAAAAACAATAGCACTGAGATGAATAAACCCAAACCAAAATATTAGTATTTCCTCTGCTGAATTGAGATATGTCATGTACCTGAGGGACGGCAGGGTACAATCGTAGTGTCTCTGTGATCACTGCGTGCAAGTAAGATAGTCTTCCCAACGAATCATACGTCAGGAGTCCAGCAAATTGTGTTGCTCTTCGATTGAATGATTCAGGATCCTCTGTATTATACTGAAACAATGAGACCTTTTCTTCTTTCGCCCGTTCTTCTTCGAAAGCTTTGAGCTCCGAGTATAGCTTGTCTGCTACATGGCTGTGAGTCATTACCATGTATATGGCCCAAGAGAGAGTCGTGGCTGTTGTGTCGCGACCGGCAATGACAAAGTTCAGTACAACATCTCTGAGGCTTTTATCAGTCATATTGTTTTCTGGGTCTTTTCCTAGCTCAATAAATCTTGATAGTATGTCATGCTTCATCTGATCATTTCCATTTAGAGAAAAGTTATTTCAATGATTTTTTTTTTTTTAATTGATGACAAGAAAAAGAACTTTAGGAACTGACTCTTTGTGAGAACATTTTACCTTCTCATTTTTACATGTCTCTCCAGTTGATTCTATCTCTGCCTTTCTTCTTCGAATAACAGAGTATGTGAAATCATCGATAATTTTGATGCTCTGATCAAGTACTGCTTCAGATCCCACTTTAAGAAATTTCTTTATTTTCCATAACGGGTCAATAAACCGAAGAGTTACAATAATGTTCGCAGTATCAAATGCCCGAGCAAAACTATTTTCCGGTAAATGAGGAGCCAATGTCCCTATTTCTACCCCAAATCCCACCTTACATATAGAGTCCAAAGTCATCCTCATGAACAGTTCCTAGAAAACAAAATTTTTTAGCCCCTTTTAGTTGACACATCTTCATAGAAACTCTAGAAAAACTTGTTTTAAATCATAGTGAAAGCAAAATGGGATGGTTTCACTTTGTCTGTGTTTGAAATTTTCTTGAGAAAGTTTTTGCAGAAAGAAAGTCAGGATTGAGGTTTTTTTCTGAGGTACCTGCATGTCTACTTCTTGGTTTTGGAGAGAGGATTGATTTAGAATAGAAGAGAGCTTAAGGCTATACTCTCGGAAGACTACAGTGCTGAAATCTCTCAAGTTTTTTGATGCAAACTCGAAGCTTGCTGTCTTCCTTTGTCTCCTCCAAAGCTCACCATCTACATTGAAAATACCATCTCCTAGCAGCACCTCCATATATGAATGGTACACTTCACCCTTTAAACACAATACAGAAGGTTGTTGGACAGAGCAAAGCCACAGATACTAAATTTTCAAAAAATGTAAGACATGGCATGTAGGGAACGTGTGAAACATGTAGTTTTATTTTTATTATATGCCATATATTTGAATATTATATATTTATTTTATATCAAATATTTGTTCTTATCAAATTTATCAAATTTGGGTATGCAACTCCGATGAAGAAAAAATATAAAAAATGATACAGAGCCCCAATGTATCCTCAACATGTCCCCAATGTGTCTAGCTGGAAAAATGAATGGGACACTTCCTCGAGCATGTCCAGCACATGTCCATGTCAGACACATGTAGGACACCATTACATGACCTCAATAGAGGTATACATGCTTCATAGGTAATATGCGTGGCATAACGGTCGACCTGTTTATAACGGTGTCGTTACAGATTTTACACAACCGTAATTGTAACAGCTGTTACATATGTGATTTTTATTTCCACATATTGGCTGCAACGGATGGTGGTGTGGGTCAAAACCATTATGTAATGAAAACGGCCCATTTTTAAAGCCATGATTTGCAGAATTATAATAGTTCTCCTGATGAGTTCTAAAATGAATTGCCATCACTATGGAAGAGGGTCAGACTGAAGCAGAGAATTAGAATCTTTCACCTTTGGGTAATTAGCAAAGTTGGTTTTGAGGACATGTTCTACACTAGCAGGATCGGCAATGTATGTGTAGGTTGTGAATGGCATTGGAACCACTACAGTTCTTGACTCCGACAGGTACTTCACAATCCAGTCATGCATCCTGTCATAGTTCATGAGTTGCTCGATCGCCGCCCCCACGATCGGCCATGTTTTCGGTCCTTTGGTGTTCATCTGGGCCCACCTGTGGATCAAGATCCATGATATGAGCATGCAGGCTAGCATTGACAGTCCCAGATTGTACCCATCTGATGAGAAAAGGTTGGGCACAATGTTCTTCTCTTGTTCCATTTTGAGAAGAAAAGGTATGAAACAGAGAATTGCAGTGTAATAGTAGAAAGGGCCTAGAGGGAAGTGTTATAAAGAGTGTAGTGGTAAAAGAAGAAGTTGTTGAGATGTGAGTGGGTAGTGAAATAGCTGTGCATTGTCAACATTCTTTGTGTGCGTAGGATTAAAAATGATTTCATGCCTTTTGTATCTCTAACCTAATTTTGACATTTTAATTTTTCTTTTCCCTGAGTAATTGATCAGTAATTCTGAATTATCAACTCATCACGCTAATGTGGTGCTTTTGAACCAATAATGTTGTGTTTGGTTGGGGGATTTGGTGAGGGATTTGGAAAGGGAAAGGGAAAAAATGTGTGAAACTATGTGAAATGTAGGTATATTTTTTTCATATTTCACCTACCATTTTCATTTCCCTTTCCAAATCCCTCATCAAATCCTTCAACCAAACACAGCATAAGAGTACTAGTAATGGAACGAGTGAAGTTGATTTGACTTACTTTTTTCAGTTGGGTGAAATTCTTCATTTGTGCGGTCTCATTGGCCAGGAGTAGAGGTGGTAAACGGATGGGTTTGATTAAGTCAAAACGTGTTATGTAGTAAAACAAACCCACCTAAACCATCCTATTTAGGATTTGTTTGGGAAGTGGGTTGACTTTTTGACTTTTTTTGTTATTTTAATTTGAGGTTAAAAAGTCTCGTTTGGAAAGGACTTTTGATTTTTTTTGCTTTTTTGTGAGAGGAAGAATGTAATGATTATGAGTTAGATGTGATGTTTTGTCTTATTAAGTTAAAAAACTTATTTTATTTTTTGTGACTAAAATAGTCAAAAAAAAAACCCTAAACTTGACTTCCCAAATGAAGCTTTAATAAACGAGTTTAAGAAGGTTGAGTTTAATTGGGCACAAGCCGAACAAATTAATCTGACCAACCTGTGTGCTATATAAGGAGGTGGTGGGTGGGTGGTTGAGTGGTGATTTACTTGTGATGGGGTTAAGGAGGTGGTACCTATTTATATATCTTTAAAGAGATATTCAGGTCTAACTTATTTGAAACTTTCTTAAATAGGCTTACAAGATGCAACTTATTTATGAATTTGGACAGGTTTTAAATGGGTGAAATTTGATGGATTCATAGCCTTGGATTAAGTTTGCCACCTCTTATTTTAGGATTATTAAATGCACGTACCACAGTGGTACTTTAGAAGTATTGAATAATTTTATCTTTATTTTTTAGGTACAATAAATTTAACATGAAAAATTCTATAATACATATTACTTTTTTAAAATGTACCACAGATAAGTTATGACATTTTGGTATTCTTAATATAACCATTTTATTTCATAACCAAGCCACTTTCAATCACAATCAAAAGAATTACAATAAATAATACCGAACACCGTTGGGACATTACCAAAGTCCACTTTGGTCATAGTTTTTATAAAATTTGTTTATTTATCATAAAAAATAAAAAATAAAAATAAATAACTCCTTTTGGCTATAATCAAAACAACAATCATAATAAATTATAATAAACTCTACAATGGATTAAAAAAACAAAATAAAAAATAAAAAACTTAACCCCACAACTATATAAAGAATCATAACTACACACTACTTTACTCGTAACTAAAAATTACCAAAAAATCATAACCAAACATATAATACAACTTATTCCCAGCCACAATGAAATTGCAACTAGGTAAGGATGAAGACCAACCCAAATGTCTCATTCAGGGTCAAATAACAGCTCAAAGCTTATCCAACAAGCTCTCTCCTTATTAGTGCAATTTTACTTAAAGTAACACCCTGTGCAGCCGGAATCTCAGTCTACTGGTTAGCTGTCAATTGTATTCTCCCTATCTTCTTTTTTTTTTTTAATTAAAAAAAAAAAAGTTAGTGCAATTTTATTTTTTATTTTTTAGAATAAAATTAGTGCAATTTAGGCTAATTAGCAGATAAATTTACTGAATTTTTTTAATTAATAAGAGATAATTTACAAATAATATAATATCATATCAAATTGTAATCACAAACTAGCCAAACTACTCAAGTTGGATAAGTGTTTAGTTTGTTACATAATCAAGTCACATTTGAATACATTTTAAAATTTTAAAACCAAATTTCAATAACTTATTATTTGACTAAATAAGTTAATATATACATTATAAAAAAAATTAAATTATTTAAACTTGATTGATATTGACATTAAAATTTAGGTAAAAATTAATTCATTATACAAGCCAACTACGCGTGAATACATTTTAAAATTTAAAATATTACAATAATTACAAATTCATCCATTCGAAGAGTAGTCGAACTCAATACGTCAATAATTGTAACATTAATTATGTCAATCAAATACCACTGAACCGCACAGATACCCGTGCATAATTAAGATGTCAATGTCAATAACATTGTTCGTTTTAGTACATTCATGCACCAACTACATCATTGGATTATTTCTACACCTAATAAGTCCACAAGCTCTTTTTGAGCATTCTCATTTGTACAGTAGTCATCTTATGTTACCATTAATTAATTATTACTTAATTAATTAACCAAAAGCTAACAAATACAAGGAAAAACATGTGCTGAACATCCTCCTTAAATTACATTACCTTGGCAATTTGACATAGTAATTAATAAGCTTTGTCATGATTATGTCACAACTTTTAAGATAAAACCTAATAAATAGTGGCATTTGTATAACATCCATTAAAGACTTTAGCTGCCCCTGCCTCCATAACTTTTATAGAATGCTTACACGTAGGAACACATAATAGAATACAGACACTTATAAAATTACAAGCTCTATACTATACTATGTGGGACCTTTAATTTTATTAATATTTATATTCAATTATGTGTTTCATTTCATAACTTTTATAAAATGTATATATATAATAAGAATACAAAATAAAACATAGTCGTGTAAGTTATAGACTCTATTCTATTTGAGACTTAAGTCTCGTTTGACAATATTTAGTTGTAGTTAAAAAATTAATAAATTATTATATCATTCTTTTTATTTTTTTACATATTTTTTTTTGTAAAAAATTAAAAAATTATTAAAATAATTATATATAATAAGAATACAAAATAAAACATAGTCGTGTAAGTTATAGACTCTATTCTATTTGAGACTTAAGTCTCGTTTGACAATATTTAGTTGTAGTTAAAAAATTAATAAATTATTATATCATTCTCTTTATTTTTTTATATATTTTTTTTTGTAAAAAATTAAAAAATTATTAAAATAATCTATTCTTAAACGAAGTGTAATAATCTTACAAATATTTGTATAAAATTCTATGTTATGCGTAACAAGACTCGCTTGCATATTGAGTTGAGAGAGGTAAAATTGGCCTAGATCTAGACCGGGTCCAAGTTTGCCTAGCTGGCACAATCCCATTTGGTACAACCGAATAGTACACATGGCGTTGGGTAATAGGTTAGTACCTCGGGTGATAGTAACATGGTCCAAGAAGCCAGTATAATATTAGGGAATCCAATTCTCAAATTGACTAAGCAATAAGAATAGAGTGAATCTGATATATATATATATATATATATTTTAAATTATGAGCACTTTTCTGAATAGTGTTTTGTCTGAATACATAATATTTATAATTTTGAGATTATTTATATCATGCCCACTTCAAGAGGCATGTAAAATATTTGTTTTCATTAAATAAAAATTTTACAATTTTTGAACAGTTGGTGCACCCAATCAAAAGCCTAAACAAACACAATCTAAACATTTTTTTCCCCAATGCCTAAAGCTACGCAAAACATCACTGAAATTGAAACATTGGATTCATAAAAAACGGCTGGTTTAGCACTGCATTACTATGGCTAGCTTGAAACTTCATTGAATCCATGTGTTGGTATGGCAGCATTTCCCCCAACTGAATTTTCTCCATCTCACGGTGACCGTTTCCGGAATTTCCCAAAGTGTTTTGCTGATTTTCAAAGTTGGAATTGTATGAATTTTCACTCAATAGTTGAGGAATTGAGCCCAAGCAATCCAATTCCCATAGATGAGAAAGTGAACAATTCCTTGGGAATTTCAGCATTTGTGAGCTACTAGCATCATTTGTAGTCCCTGTTTGGGTACTGAAATCTTCAATTTTTTGCTCCATTGCTCTTCCCATGTTTTTCTTCTTGTAGATCCGACAAAGCACCCAGTCATCCAACTGAAAAAACACAGCACACAAGGGTAAAAATCACCAAACAAACATGGCACTATCAAAACTTAATTCCAAAAAAAAAAAAACTTACCCTCATGGACCCATTTTGCTTGTTATTGGTTGGTCTTCTTGAATCATTTAATCTATATTCATGCATAATCCAATCTGTCTTGACACCCTTCGGTGGCTTACCCTTGTAGAACACAAGGGCTTTTTTCACACCAACATATTTAGATCCACTGTAAATTGCCTTGTCTGTCCCTGTGGCCTTCCAATAACCCGACACAGCGGCTCGGTTGGGCCGCACCCCGTTCGGGTACTTCCGGTCACGCGGAGTAAAAAAATACCATTCATTTTCTCCAAATTCTGCCTTCTCTACTCTCCATAAGATACAAAATTAGTGCAAGTTCATGTTAATTAATCTACTATAAGAACAATTAAGGACATTCATGTAATCCGATGAAAATCTCAAAATTCAAAAAAATGTTAAGATAGAAAATCTCGTGCCATAATTTCAAAATATGAAAATTTTTAGATAAAAGATAAGAATTTTAGAGACAAAAAATCAAGTGTCATGTTATTTATGGGTTGTAGGACTAACCGGGCAATTCCCAAGGATCGAATTTGTAGATATCAACTTCAGGGATGATTGAAATAGGGCATGGCTTTGATGTGGCCTGGTTTTTGAGATAGAACATGATTAGTTCCTCATCAGTTGGGTGAAACCTAAAACCAGGAGGGAGGTTTGAGTTGTTCTTTCCTACCATTTTTTTTGTTTGAATTAATACCAAACAAATCACCAGCGAGAAATGGTAACAATATGGGTTCTAACCCTAGCCAAAAATTAAAAATAAAAATATGGGTTAGGTCTAGAAAATAAAAAGACAATTTGGGTTCCAAGAATTGGGTAGTTCTCCAATCCTTGATTAGCTAATGAGAGAGGAGAGAGAGGCTTAGGGGAGAGAGAAGAGAAAGGGAGAGTGTTTGAAATGTTTGAAAGGAGAGGGCTAGGCATTTTATTTGAGAGGGTTTTTTGTCATATAGTTGGATTACATCACATGCATTTTGGCTTTTTCTTGACTTTGCGTTACCTCGTATGGGCTACATTATTGCTATTTCATTCCATACTTGCATGAGTTTGGTAAAATGCTATTACTTTCTAATACATATATTTAATATATTATCCAATATCCATACGGGAATATACTTTATCAACAACGACTTCACATTTTAAGACTTCGGTTGCCAATTTTATCACTCAACCCCCAAAACCCTTTTAGACCAAACCTTTTTCCATTTTTTTTTTTTTTTTGTAAGAGTACTATTCAGCTTTGCCAGCTTAAAAAGTATCAAAAATGGGAAAAAGAATTATGAGTTCAATTGAATTGTTAAACCAACAAAATCTTAACACTCAATGAAAGAGTCTCCAATTGCACAATGACCCTTTCTTTTTTTCCTCATTTTCTTAACCACATGTTGAATCATCCTTGAAGGGTGAAAATGCACATAAACTCCAAATAACAAAACTCATCTCTTCCTGAATTAAGAGACAAAAGAATAATTTTGTTCATTCACATGTCTTAACTCTCATTAATTAAAATAATAAGATGAACTCTATTTAAAATAATGAGTAAACAAAATCGGATCTATGTAGGCTAACGATGCATATCACCCTAACAAATTCTCAATTTACATCATTTGGGGGTTTGAAATGTTGACTATAACAATCATAGTTACTCATTTTAGAGTATCTCTATCAAACACATATTATTGTACCTAGAAAATTCATTAAAAAGATACTTCATCAAGCTCGTCTTCTCATTTGTCATTTTTGTCGAGTCTCAAGTTCTCGGTTGCCAATTTTATCAATCAACCCCAAAAACCCTTTTACACCAAACCTTTTTCCATTTTTTTTGTAAGAGTACTATTCAGCTTTGCTAGCTTAAAAAGTATCAAAAATGGGAAAAAGAATTATGAGTTCAATTGAATTGTTAAACCAACAAAATCTTAACACTCAATGAAAGAGTCTCCAATTGCATAATGACCCTTTCTTTTTTTTCCTCATTTTCTCAACCACATGTTGAATCATCCTTGAAGGGTGAAAATGCACATAAACTCCAAATAACAAAAATCATCTCTTTTTGAATTAACTCATTTGGGAACAAGTTTTTTTAGTAATTTTTTGACTTTTTAGCTAAAATGTGATGTAAAAAAAACTAGTATATTTGGGATGACTTTTTGAAAAAGATATGCAAAAAGTAGATAGAAAAGAGAATCTGTAACTTTTTTGGTATGAGTTATTGGCTTTTTGATTTTTTTAGTAACTTTTTGATTTTTTGACTAAGAAGGGCACTTGCCAAACAAGAAAAGACAAAAAAATAATTTTGTTTATTCACCTGTCTTAACTCTCATTAATTAAAATAATAAGATGAACTCTATTTAAAACAAATGAGTAAACAAAAACTGATTTATGTAGGCTAACTATGCATATCACCCTAAAACATTCTCAATTTATATCATTTGGGGGTTTGAAATGTTGACTTTAAGGAGCAATGGTAGAGGGCCCAAATTCTGTGGCTCAAATGTGGCTTAAATAGCCAAAACGACATCGTTTTGAGTACAAAACAACATCAAAATGGCCAAAACGACGTCGTTTTGGCCATTTGAGCCACATTTGAGCCACAGAATTAGGGTCCCCAAACATTTTTCATAACAATCATAGTTACTCATTTTAGAGCATCTCTATCAAACACATATTGTACCTAGAAAATTTATTAAAAAGATACTTCATCAAGCTTGTCTTCTCATTTGTTATTTTTGTCAAGTCTCAAGTTCTCTCAAGTTCTCACCACAATTAATGAGTTATTTAAGCGCCAATGAATTTAAATAATAAAATATTGGGCAAGGATAATATAATATTTCTTTTTAAAATCTAACTTTGCTCACCCATCTAATAAAATGTATCAACAAAACATATTCTTTGATTAATTAAATTAATGGGGTTCATCTCATTTTAAATGTGACTTGTTTTATTTACACATTGTCACATGTGTGAACAAAATAGTTTTTATCTTATTAATACTGCATAAATACTTGTGAGCCATAGGGAGAAAACAAAGAATGAATGACAAAAAAAAGAGAATAAGGATTGAAGTGGATAGAAATTAAAATGGAAATTAAATGTCTTATTTATATTGAAAAACAGCCTTTGAAAAAATGTCCATTGAAAAATTACAACCATTGAAGAATTATCCATTCAAAAATATGACTGTTGAAAAAGGCATAATAAAAAATAAAAAATATTTAAATAGAATAGAGAAATAGTAAGAAGTTTGTTAGAGAAGTTTTTACAAAAAAATATTAATTAACTAAAATAGAAAGTAATAGTACCTACCAAAAAAAAAGGTGCTTAGGCAAAAAATCCAATTTTGAATTTTGTTTGGCTAAAGGTCCTAATTTATCCATAAGGATAAGTTTATGTTAAATGACCAAAATACCCTCGCTATATATATAAGATATACACTGTGCAAAAATCAAAAATCTTATATGCTCTCTCTCTCTCTCTCTCTCTATGTGTCTCATCATCCTCATTGCTTTCCCTCTGTCTCTCCTCCTCTCTCTCTAGATTTCGCGTCAAACGGACTCCTTCATCTTCGACGATTCATTTCAATCGTCACTGCTACCCCGCGACCTCCTCTATCTTTTTCTCTTCTCTCTCTCTCTTCTATTAGTGGAGAAGGAGGTGACAAGAAAGGCTATGAACATAAAGAGACGGGTGATGTCGTAGGTGTAGAGGTAGTCGTCAGTGCTGGTGAGGAGACTGATGACAGCGGCAACGGCGGCAAGGTATAGTCTCTCATTTTCTCTCTCTCTCTTTCTCTCTCTCTCTCTTTTTTCTCTCAACCGATTATAAATTGGAGAGAGTCATACATACATATACATACACACAAGTTCGAATATGAACATAGCAGTTTCGCTTTGGCTAGAGTTTCATTCGATATAGGGTTTGAATCACCCACTCTAAACTATTGTCTTCAGTGTTTGAAGATCCGATTCGATTGCGCCTTTCTCATTCTTTATATATATATATATATATCTTCTGTCTTGGCTCGAGATCGAGGCCAAACACAGAAGAGCTTGCCTAAAGATTTATTAGGGTTAGGGTTTGTGAGTTGGATCACTCACTGGTTCTCTTTCTCTACTTCAAGTGCAGAGATCTGTTCTATTTTTTATTTTATTTTTTATAGTTATTGTTGGTTGTTGTTTATTATTATATTATTATTATTGTTGTTATTGTTGATGATAATGAAATAGATTGCAACAGATTTGAACAGATCCGTGTTGTTATTGTTGTTGTTGATAATGATAATGAAATAGATTGCAATAGATTTGAACAAATTTGTGCGTGGATTTGAACAAATTTGTGCCTATACCTTAGTTACCATTTGACAATATCTGTTGTTGTTATTGATAGACAGATGTTGGATTTATACCGATAAAAAGAAAACTTCTTGTTTGTTGAACAAATTTGTTCAAAAAAATTGAACAAATAGTAAAAAAAGATAGAATTTCAACAAATAATTTGAACATACAAAATTTTTGAATAGATAAATTTTAACAAATAGCTTTTATTTGGACAAATATTAAACAGATAAAATTTTGACAGATAAGAATTTCAACAGATAGATTCAACACTTGAAAATTTTCAACAGATAATTTTTTTTTTAACTTTACATAGAAAAAATTTGAACAAATATACAAGAAATTTGAACAGATAGAATTTTTTTTGAACAGATATGAAAATGTTTGAACAAGTAAATATAAATTTGAACAGATAGTCAATAAAAAGTCAAATAGATAAAAAAAAGTTAAGGGACAAAATTGTAAACAAAATATTCTTTAGGATTTCTCACCAATTAAAAAAAAAAAATCTATTAGACCTAATGGCTTAGACAATTGTTAGAATATATTTTTCATCAATTTTCTCCCAAAAAAAAATAAAAAAATAATAATAATAATAAATAATAATAATAATAATAATAAAATAGATAAAGTAGCTTTTGACTAAAATTTGACTGAAAATGTGATTATTTTGATGAAATAGATAACAAAACAAAAAGGGTCATTGAATATTTGCAGAAGGAAACATTTTAGCACATACCTTTTTTTTCTTTTTCTTTTTTCCATAAAAAAGAAGTATTTCAACATAAGCAAGTGTAAAAACACAGAAATATAATAAAAAGTGTTTTTTATTATTAAAAAGAAAAAGAAAAAGAAGAGATGTAAAGAAAATGCAGTCAATGACGTGAAGCGAGTAGATTGCGTTTTCCTATTCGAGCAGGTACAGCTGTTATTCCTGGCGAATCAGTCTTATTATCAAACCCTAACTTCGTAACTGGACACGTGTCCTTCGCCAAAGGTAGGGGGGCCTAGAAAGGGATAAGCATTGCCAAAAGGAGTGATTTTTATTGTGGTTCTTATCCACCCACCTCACCACTCTTTGGGCTCCTTATTGGTCCATCAATATTAGGTTCATTGCTCATTTTTTATGGGTCTTATTTTTCGTGTGGATTTATCTTAGGTGTTTGTAATTTTATTTATTTATTTATTTTGAGAGTTTATATTAGGCTTTTTAATTTAAATTTTGTTTATAATTTATTAGATATGCTTATGATTTATTAGGTAGAGTAATTTAAATAAGTTGTTAAATCGATTTTTGAAAGCCAAGTGATGATACTTTTGACTTTTGTTTTTGATCTATCAATTTTTAACTTATAATTAATATATCACATTATCAAAGTACATGAACAACATATAACATTTTATTGATTTTAAATAGTAAATCTTATTATTGTAAGTAGGATTAATGTATATAGATATTTAGATATAAGATTTGATATTTTAGATCAATTAAATTTTGTATTGTGTTCATGTTATTTGATTTTGAAGCCTCACTCTTACTTTTGTAATCTCCAATTTTTGGGCGGCACGTGTTTT